GATCTGAGGGGTCCGAGGGAACAGAGGGGTCAGCAGGAAGAGAGGGAGAGGAGGCAGCAGAGGGAGCAACGGAGCCCGGATCATCATCAGCAGGAGCTGTTGGTGGTGCAGCGAAAGCGAAAGCAGCAGCAGATGCTTCACGTCGAAAAGATACAAGACCTTTTTGGCAGCCAAAACCAGCGCCCCTACCACACTGGGCATTTCCTGAAGTTCAAGACCCAGAGGTACTTCATCAGGCATCACACAATGAGTGGAACACAGCAACCAAAAAAAAAAAAAATAATAATAAAAGACAAAACACAACGTTTGTTGAGACTCGTACCCTTGTACTTGATCTCCCAAACCCTATACTCTGCTGATGAAATGCAGGAAAGCACGAGCTTGCTACTAGTATTCTCTTTTCGCGTTTCAGATGCTTTTCCTTACACCATCACGGCATCACGGTTTCTTAGTCAAACGAAACCCACTTGCAGAAACCTTTTATAGAATAACTTGAAATGAATGCTCCGCGCTTGTGCAGGCGAGGAGTGATCTGGCTGCACTCACGAACTTTATGAAAACACTCCGGGTACCCCGTCGTCATCACCGTGAAGGTAAGAGTAGCAGAACATAGAAGGTGATGCAACAGTGCATACAACAAAGTTTCGTGCAAGTTGAAACATGTATTAAATATGGGGCTATTGGTTAGTTTCCGCGGATTGAAGAACAAGAAGCATGCAAAGAAGTGAAAAGAAACAACTGTTTCGATATTCTCTGCTTTTATCTTTTGTGTATTGTACAGGAAAGTGCTCAGTTGTATTGAACGGCATCTTCTTTGAATTCACCATAGTGGAAGTGGTGAGGTTATATTAAACATTTTTTGCAGTTAGTGGCAGACTGACCGCAGAGATACCGAGCCTCGATAAACATTTTATCTTTTTCTCGTTTTCTGTTTCTGTATTTGTGTTGCTGCTTGCAGAAAAGCTGTATGGGCTGGCCAGGACGTAGAGTAAGTCAACACCACCACCGAAA